GCATCAGAGAGGGAACTATTCGACCTTGATACGTACCACAAAGCGCCAAGTCAACAACAAAACTCAGTGGAATACAGCGACACGCAAGTGTACACAATCGGCTGCACACGGTGTGTTATGAAATCACCACCCCAAGCACAAACGAAGCTCCTCCTCGATTGCGTCCGGCGTTCAGACCACAGTTACAGAGCCTGCCACAGACAACTACTCCGAGCACATCAGTTGGGCCACTAAACATAGGCCGAATTACGATCACGTAGACTAGGCTGTACTTCAACCTCGATAGCAGGAAGCTATTCGATACCTCAGTAGGTTTCGATGCGGCTAAATTTCAATAGTCTGAATAGAAAGATATAACACAACTAGCCTAATCGTACCCAACCGCAATCGCCTTCTGATTCATGCCAGGTGTGACCTTGCTCCGGTACCCTCTCGTGCACGAGTGGGGTCGAAAGTGCAAGCGGATGCCTTGCTCAGTGAGAACGACTATGATAATCCGAAAGGAGGCGAGTATCCCGAGCCACCGGAAGCAAAGATCACGACACGAAGCCAAGTACCAGTACCGAGCGCAGTTGAGGAGAAAATGACTTCGTTTTCGCCGTCTGCCAAAAATATGTAAATGGGGATGAACCTTCCCCTAAAAAGCGAAGAGATACATCTCGTATCGAAGCAACCTTCACTCACGGGCACAACTCTTGCAGGCCGCAAAAATCAAACCGCCACGTTGATCCGACACCTGACACGGTCAAAGAGCTTCAAAGTGCCTTGAAGCCTCCGTGTAACCTCTTGCCTCGATTGGTTGTTCAAAGAGACGATTTAAGATACATGTCTCTAACTCCCGCTTCGGCACCGCGCAGCCTCTGAGTCATAACCCACTAAAACTCTAAACTAACACTATCGTCGGGGTCGCCCCACCTCGAACCCTTGGTCTAGAGCTTTCATTTGTCGTTATTGGCTAAGAAACGATCGAAATGTGGCTAAGATACTTATTCTCTCTCCCGTCATCCCTCCCCATCTCCGCACACGCTTTTTCTTTTTTCCACTAACCTCCTTTCATACTAATTTTCTCATCGTTCCGACTTCACCAACATACTCGCAGCATCAAAAAAAACCCGACTAGCAACTCTTCTCGCTCGATTTCCCCAGGAAACGAGCAAGACACTCATTCCTCGATACCTGCCATATCTACTTTTGAGAACCTCCGCGCACTAACTTTCTTCTCCACCTCCTACCTCACTAATCTATCTCGCAAACTAATAACGGATTCAGCTCCGCCAACCTCAGAAACCCTGATCTTGATTCTTTCCTTGCTCGATTCTACTAAGAATCGAGTGCGCTGCCCATCTTTGATTGCGCCCGACCAGTTTTCCTCACCATCTCTTCCATTGCACACACTCGGCGTAGAACCGCGTTAGGTTCACTCTTCTCTCGTCCCTTCAAAGTCTCGTTCCCGACAGCGTTGGCCAAAGCGCTAACTCAAAACACCGTAACCGAGGTGTCGACCGATACTCAGCAGGAAGGTCCCCACGGACACTGATATCCACTACTGAGCGACTAGCAGCTTACTTGCCAGATCGATCGCCTTTTGACCGGAGGGCCTTGACATGTACTTCCTATACTTGGCCGTCGTGATTCTCCCTCACTGACAAGCAGGAGTGCGCCGAGCCCGCTGCGTAAGCCCAAGCGAAGCGGGCCCTGGCGGAGATCTTTGTGGTAACAGTAGATGTTCAAGCAGAAGCTTAGAAGCCCGCCGTGGGGGAGGATCCTAAGTGGGTGGACCTATAACGCGATCTCCCACCAGCGTCCGCTCCCCCCGCCCCCACTATGGCATAGTCCCCGTTCGGATCACCCGCCTTCACCCGTTGCTCCGCTATTTGCCTCGCCCCGCTGATGCCTAGTGCAGCACCCAGTGGTCATAGTGACCCGGTTCTACCGTCCCACAGTCCTGGTCACTCCACCCTCCTGCCGTTCTCTTCAGCCAACGCACCTCCTTCAATCGTAGCGGCCCTACCCGACATTCTTGCTTCTGCCTTGGTTGGTACGAAACCTCTGACTACTCCCAAGACCACACCCTACGCTACCTAACACCGATCTCAGGGTAGTAGGTCGAGGGAGTCGAGATCTTCCTAGGTTTGAGCAACACTCACTCGTCGTAGCCCTCGCACGACCGTTGTGGTCATTTCCATGATGCGATGGGAAAGAGGCGTGTTAATCACTACCCTCCGCCACGTCGGGAAGAGGCGCATGGTCAAGGGCCTCGACCGTCACGACGACCTCCGACCTCCGCGTCGCACCTGAGTCAAAGAGCAATCGTCAGATTATGACGAGCGAGAAAAAAAGAAAATGTTAGCACCGTTCTGACGCCGCCTGATGGCAAAACTAAGGGGGATAACCCCGCCAGGCCCTCAACCCCTTGGTCCGTTTGCGCTACTCTGATACCCCTGCGTCGTCGCCACTCGATCTCGATCCTTGAACCTGCCAAACGAAAGTCCGTCATCGTTACTAATAGGGCTAGGCCCAAGTCTGAGCCTAGTCCTGGCGGACAACTATATAAGCAGAAACTGTGCGAGGCGCAGACCTACCGAAATGCTTTCAAGATTCACATTTGTTGTCGATGTCGTCCTCCGCAGGTACGCACAAGTCACAGTTAATCACACCAATCAAGAGACATAGTATTTTCAATCCTAACTTAATCAGAAAAAAAAGAATCTGGCCGGCGATCATGCCGACTCTTCAATCATCAATAATTAAAAGATCACGTGCGCCTCGAGCTTGTGCGCCCACACACTCTCTACTCTAGTCAACCATCCTGCCAACGTAAACCACAGACGCAGCGGCGCCTCGCGCGGAATAATTGAATTTTAACCCAAACCTATTTTTCTGCCGCTTGCAAAAACCAGGGCGGATACCCTTGTAAGGGTATTCGCACCGACAGTGGTAACACCCAACTGCCCTCAGCCTTTGTTCGGTCCACTTTGTGTATCCGGCCGAGGGCCTGCCTCAGTTACATGCAATGAAAGGCAGCCTGGGCCTGGGTGCGTCCAACCGACTGGCGCTGTGCAACTGGCTGAATTTCCCCAGTTGCGTGGTGACCCTGAAATGGCCTGTAAGGCCTCGGTTGTGCCTGCCTTCACTTAGGGCGGCTGACTGTGTGAAAATTAGGCCCTGTAGGGCATATCGAGGCCCTATGCCTTGCACTGGAAAGTTGCTTAAAGAAATTATTCTCCTGGCCTTCGCTCCCGGTCCACTACCATGTTGAGAGCAATCAGCGATCTTACGGTATGAGCTGGAAATGCATTTGACCCTGTACGTCTATAAGTTCTGTCACAATATGACTTGCTGGGAATGCAAGATAGAAAGGGAGAGTATGCATAATGCTCTTTTGGTAACCTGTATGTAATTTGGGGAGATCCAAGATGCAACCTTGCTGGCTATCCCTGCTGGTAGGAATGACTTGGCATTGGTCATTCAGAGTGTGTTTCCTGCACTGACGCTTGGCTTGCAGCACAGAAGCAGACATACATCCAATTGGTAAACGGCTTTGTTGGTATCCCACGCAGCATGGTTTGGATCAATAAAATTGATTATTACATCCCATCATGCGTGGCTGGCACTGCTAGTCATTGGGGTTGGGTGGGCCTGGGGGGTGGGTGCGGAATTTATGGAGTAGGCCACGAAACATTTTCTGCAAGGCTGGGGCCGTGTACTGGCGGTTTAAACCACCAGTACACAAGTCTGGCGGATTCGCTTTGAGCGCCAATCTTTGCTGAACCAGCAGCGGCGTACTTTTTTACTTTTCTGGCTGGTGCCGGCAGCAATTGTGCTCCAGGAGCACCAAAATTTTGGAGTGAGCCATTAGTTTTTGAAGTTGGGTGGGGTCTTGTACTGGCAGTTTAACGACAGAAAGCGGCATGAGTGTGGTGTGTGTGACAGGACGGTGGCAGCACTGGTTGCTCACATCAACAACAAAGGCACATTCAACTTCGAACAGCAGCAGGGGCAGTGTGAAAAAGGTGTCTATTGCCAATGTGTCCAGGCATGGGCCACCTGAGCCCAGGGAATGTGTTCAGCTGGCTGCCAACGTGTAGAGGGGCACCCAGAAAACATGCCTGGTACTAGAAGAGGCATATAGAGAACTTGCCACCAAGAGTTCAATGGCCAGAAGTACTGGGCCATCGGGAAAGTTGAATTGGTCCTGGGTAGGGTTATATCATATATGGACAAGGTGCCGGGTTGAGCTGGTGAGCGGGGTATTTGGTAAATTTTGAAGGCAATCAGGATGGCATTACGGGTTGCCCCTCTCTTTTCAACGTCTCTCTATCTCTCTCTCTCCACATCGAAACGAGAATGAATCTTCCTCGATAACACGGAAGATTCATTTTTTTCGATAACACGGAAGATTCATTCTCATTTCGACGTGGAGAGAGAGAGCGAGAGAGAGAGAGAGAGAGAGAAAGAGAGAGAGAGAGAGAGAGAGAGAGAGAGAGAGAGAGGGCGTCAGCCAGTGTCTAACGCAGAGAGAGAGAGAGAGAG